CCTGATGACAAACACTCTGGAGCTGACCCTTGGTGTGAAGTGGATGGACCCCTACGAAGTGGCCACCGAGGAGGGCCTTCTCCCACCTTTGCCTCGGCAGGAGACGGAGCGAGCTATGGAGATCCTGAAAGTGCTCTTCAATATCACCTTTGATTCCAGCAAGAGAGAGGTGGATGAGGTGAGCTCCTCAGGGGTCCCACCCCACTGCATTCGCGTGTCTCCGGGCGGTGGGTTGGCTACTGGTTTTGTCATCTGCTTGTCTTTCCTCCTGTTACACGCTGGTCCTTGTGCAGCCCGCGGGTGTGTGTCAGGGCAGCAAGAGACTTGTGTCCGGACCTTCCTCCCTAGAGCACTGCCTCTATCCAGGGCATTATTAAGCCTTAAGACTTCTAGAGCATTGCAATTTAAAAGTTGGGTGGTTTTCCTTCAGGATAATGTGGTTTGTAGCACAAGTGGGAGAGCGGAGTCCCCCGATAACTCACTTCTGAGTGTGGCCTGGTACTCTTTCACCTTCTGGCCAAGGTTGAAGGAAGGTGTGGTGGAGAACATCTCCGACTAATCCGTGGGCCTGTTTTGGGGCCTTTTCCATCCCTTGACTCAGTGTTGTAGAGTGAGGGGGAAGGTACTGGGCAGCAGGAAGAGTGTGTGTTGACATCAAAAAGAGGGTTAGGAGGCTGCTCCACCCTGCTGTCAGCCCTGCTGGAGGGAGGGACGGGGCTGTGGGCTGCGGGGGCAGCAGCCTCTGTGGTGTGGAGGATCCTCTTTCCTGATCAAGGTTTTCGTTTTCTGTTTTGGGACCAGGAAGATGCTGCTCTGTACCGGCACTTGGGTGCCCTCCTGCGCCACTGCCTCATGATCTCTGCGGATGGAGAGGACCGGACAGAGGAGTTCCACAGGTCTGTTAGATAACTGGGCTGTGACCTTCACTGGGAACAGGGCTCCCCCAGGCAAGTCCTGCCTGGCCTCGGCATTGACATCCCCTGCTTGTCCGCTAACGCTCAAGCAGGCGTCTTCGGTTTGGCCTGCAGGTTCCTCGCGCTGCGAGGACTCAGAAGTGGCCCTGCCCTTCCTGCGGCCGAACGAGACGTGCCAGTGCCGCCCCTCCCGGCCTGCCCGCGGGAGCAGGGGTCTCTCCACGCCTGCCCGGCCCCCACGGCCATGTTCAGTATCCCGTGTCAGGCCTCCTCAGCAGTGCCGCCTGCTTCAGCGGGCGACTTGCCAGAGCAGATGTTTGGTACTTTAATTAAAGAGTTCGTGGGGTGGCCTTAATTAACTGTCTGTCTCTTGAACCATGCTGAGAAATTGCCTGTGTCACATTGCTGAGCATTATTGGTTGAGGGGTGTCAGCTTTAAGGAGGTGACACCATCCTGTCCCCCAGAAAACTATAGTCAGAGGATTCCTAAGCAATGCACTGCATCGACCATCAAGGTGAGAAGGACTGATGCCGCAGGAGACCCTAGAGAAAGACCTTTGACCACCCAGATTGGTCCCACTTGGCCTCTGTGTGAAGATCCATTGTTTCTCAATTGTCACTGAAGTATCTTTGGACTCCCAGCAAATAGTTCAGCTACCCAAAAAGCGGTTTAATTTATTCCCTTTTAGTGGTGTGAGGAGCTTGGCATGCAGACAGCTTGGGTCTTGGGGTCCTCACGCTCCTGGAGGATCGTAACAACGTTCATGTCTGGATAGCTGAAGAACTCCTGCAAGCAGAGATCCATGACTGTGTGTTCACTTCCCTTTTATATGTTCAGTCATACAGTTAACCTTTTGGGCAACCTGCCCCTGAAATGTCTGGATGTCCTTCTGACCCCGAAAGTCCGGCCAGGCTCGCTCGAGTACATGGGTGTCAACATGGACGCAGTCAACATCCTGCTGGATTTCCTAGAGCGGCGCCTTGACAGGGTAAGCTGTGTGGCTGCTGTGTGAGTTTGTCACCGCTCGTTTCCCCGTGGTCACTGCAGGGCACCTCTTCCTCCAGCCCGGTGCCGGCACCCCAGGAGCACCAGCGAGGCACGATTGTTTGGAAATATCCCGTTACAGAAGGGGCGGTTTTTAGCAGAGGGAACTGTTACGGGTGGTAGGACTAAAACAACATCTGTCGACTGGGAGGGTGACTGCGTCATTGCTCTGTGAGCTGCAGGGAGGGAGGCTGGCTGAACAGGGGGTGGTTCGCCGGGTGGTGGAAAGGCCGGTGCTCTGTTTCACTCAACTCAGTAGTGGTCGGGTGGGCAGCTTCAGGGAACCTGAATTTGCCTTGTTTTCAGGCTGGCTGTGGTTTCGGGTCTCGGGAGTTATTCCAAAGGGTCTCCAAATGTTACCGCTGCACTTCTTTACTCTGGCTGCCCTGCGCAAGCATTTCTAGCGCTGCCATGCCACAGAGCAGGGCTTGGGAAGCCGTGTGGTTTGAGGAGGGATGAAGCACTGAAGCGCCTGTAGCAGAGGCTGGAAAGCTTCGGTGTCCGTCTGTTTCCCTGAGGGTGTGCGCTCATGTTCTCCCCTGCAAGCCAGACAAGTTGAGCTCAGCGTGACTAACGTGTTGGTGGTTTTGTGGACGCTTCTGCAGGGACACAAGCTGAAGGAGAGTTTGACCCCTGTGCTGAACCTGCTGACTGAGAGTGCCCGAGTCCACCGCCAGACGAGGAAGTTCCTGAAGGCAAAGGTACGCCGTGGTTCAGCCACAAGTGGAATGATGCTGTGCTGAGGAGAGAGGAGAACAGCGAACTGCCTGATCATGGCCATCCTCCAGGCAGTCCTCCCCTGTCTCTTTACTAGGTTCTGTTGTATGGGTGGTTGGGGTCTTTGGTGCCCACAGTGTTTTTTTCCACATCTCCCGCACTCTGTGGATTTGTTAGAGCTGATTTGTAAAATGCACGTGTATTTTCCTGTCTGACCTGCCGTTACTGCTCCAGCTCTACTGATCACTCCTCGCTGTCACCTTGTAGGTGCTGCCTCCGCTCCGGGACGTGAGGAATCGGCCAGAGGTGGGGAACTTGCTGCGGAACAAGCTGGTGCGTCTGATGACCCACATCGACACCGACGTGAAGCACTGCGCGGCGGAGTTCCTCTTTGTGCTCTGCAAGGAGAGCGGTGAGTTGCAGGGGCTTCTTGTGGGCTTTGGTGGCCGGCAGTCCTGGAGCTTGGCCTCTGGGCAGGCCAGGGAGCGTGGGATGGGTGACCCCCTGCAGCCAACAGGAACTTCTGCCTTCCCTTGGGCCAGACGCTCTCCGCTTGTCCCTACTCGGTGTACCCGAGTGCTCGGTGGGAAGGAGCTGCTGCCTCTCGTGGCAGCGGTGAGTGAAGAGCTCTGCTGGAGGACACCCCAACACCCTGCAGACAACCTGGCCAGCGTTCAGGCCCCCACCCCGTGGGTGTTGTCCCTGCCGCTCCTGGTGGCAGTGTGGGAGCCGTGCTCCCTGCCAGAGCTCGAAGAGGCGTTGGCGTTTCTGGGTCTCCGTGGCTTTGCACCGATCTTGCTGTTGCGGGGCACAGGAGCAGACGGGGCTGGAGAGGCGGGAGGGGAAGCACAGGGTGGTCTCTCTCCCCTTCTCCCGGCAGTGTCGCGGTTTGTGAAGTACACGGGCTACGGGAATGCAGCTGGGCTCCTGGCAGCACGAGGCCTCATGGCTGGAGGTCGGGAAGAGGGAGAGTACTCTGAAGACGAAGACACAGACACTGAGGAGTACAAAGAGGCAAAGCCCAAGTAAAGAAGCCTGCTCCCCCTCTATAGCGCTCTCTTCCTACGCCTTCTTCCCACTCCATCTGCCTCCCTGCCGTCTCCCTTGTCCCGCTCTCAACGTGCGTGTTTCCTTCCGTGTTACTGAGCAGTCTCACCCTGACCTCGGGTGTCCCGTTCCACCCTCTCTGCCTGTTCCTCGGGTGAAATGCCTCCATGGCCGAGCTGCTCACGTGCGGGTGGTCGCCAGGGTGTATATGCAGTCCCTGCAGCTGGGCACAGGCTCTACAGCAAAGTGGGTTCCTTCAGCTGGAGCCCGTTCTGCCCCAGTCCTGTTCGTGGTGGGCACGTGGCAGTTCATCTCTCTCCAATCCATGTCTTACACCCTTCTTGGGCGTCTGCAAATCCCAGTACGGTGGCAGGCTCTCACTGTGCGCTGTGGTAAGGGTGCTCCCTTCTTGGGGCAGGCTGGAAGTGCCAGTTACTCCTCTCCGTCTCCAGAGCCCTGTGCTGGAGTGAGCTGGTGGTTTGGGTTTTTTGTTTGCTTTTTTTTTTTTCTTTGCCTGCTAGAGGGTGGTGGTAACTTGAGGGTGAGGGGTGTGCAGGGAGAGCTCCAGGCCTGTGCTCAGCTGTGGGTCCCATACTTTCTAGCATCCTCTCCAATGTGGTCTACAGGTTGGGGTTTTTCCTGTGTTAGCTTTTTGCCTCCTGACTTAAGGGAAGAGAGGGAAGAAGTGTCGTCTGCCTTTGTGTGCCTGGTTTAAAACTGCACCGTGGAAGTGGCAGGATGGGGGTGTTGCTCACACCAGAGAAATGGGAGGGATTTGTAAGGGGGTCACACCTGTGTGTGGGACGTACAGGAAGAGGTCGGAAGCACCACATTGCACTGCGATAGCACTTGGGGCTAATGAGACGAGCAGCAATGATGACCAGCCCTGCCGTTGCGTTCCTCTGCTCAGCAGAGGTGAAAGAGGTTTTTAAACAGCCCTTTTGTCAGTCCTCTGCTTTACCTCCCTCCTTCACCCCAGCCTCGCTGTTCTTCTTGCAGCATTAACCCTGTGACGGGACGTGTCGAGGAGAAACTACCCAACCCCATGGAAGGGATGACTGAAGAGCAGAAGGAGTATGAAGCCATGAAGTTAGTCAACATGTTTGACAAATTGTCCAGGTACTAGAAGATGGTGTGTGCTCACGTCTGCGCTAGCACCTGCACATCTGTGACTTAGATTACTCACAGACCTTTCTTTGAGGGTGTTCCCAAGGCCACTGCTGATTGAAGGGGTGCGAGAGAGAGTGGGGAGGTGTGTGTGGAAATACTGCCTTAAGCTGCGTCCTGTCGTGTGGAGAGGAAGGCACTGCAAGCCCCCCCCGCCCTTTGGCATGATGGCCACTGCGAAATTCCTCTGCGTGCCTGTGCTGTGTTTCCAGGCACCTGCTGCCTCGCCGGGCTTGGCCAGGAGCTCCGTCAGAACAGCAGCGCTGTCCTGGCAAGGCTGCTCAGTAGGAAACGGCGTTTTGGGGCCAGATGGCAGCCAGTGCCACCAAGCCCTTTCCCTGCAGGAGTGCTTTCTCCAGTCAGCTGTCATCTGTCATTAATAGGTGCCATAGGGGATCCCAGAGGCTGGCAGCTGCGTTCAGACCACCCCCAAGGGTGGGAGGGGAAAGGGCAGCGCGTTTATGCCTGTATTTCCATCGCGTGTTGGTGGGAGAGGAACACTGATGCCAGCGCTGTTTTCCTCTGGCAATCCTGTACCACGCAGAGCAGGACCCCAAAACTGAGCCCGTTCCAGGAACCCGAGAGCAACCACGCCTGTGGATTGTGCTTCCAGCCATCGCCTCACCGCGCTGGAGTCTTTATGGCTATAACTGCCCCCCGCTTCGAGAAGGGTATTTCTGGTGGCGTCCTGGGGTTGTTCTGGGCTGCCTCCGGGCAGGTTCCCTGAGCCCCCCGTTTCTGCTGCGGTACTAGTCTGTTCTGTGTCTGCCGCAAATCTGTGTTACCTTCCCCCCTCTCCTGCCTGTTGCAGAGAGCAAGTCATCCAGCCCATGGGCATCACGCCGAGCGGCAACCTGGCCCCCATGGAGAACGCCATCCGCGACATGGCTGATGAGAGGTCGTCGTCCGACTCGGACCTGGGGCTGGACTGATCCAGACCTCTCGCCCCAGCCTCGGAGAGCTGGGGAGCCTCCATCCCCTCTCCCTCCAGAACTGGTGCTGCACCCAGGCTAGTTCTGGGCCAGGACTCTCCCTGTGGGATCCAGATCCGGCCTGGACCCCTCACAGTCCGCACCAAGGAACACCTCCTGCCTCCTTCCTGGCTCCGTACCACCTCTCCTTCCAGAGGGTCGTCTTGGCCTGGCTCCACCTTGGTCTCCCCTGTCAGCACCCTTGAGGATTTCACACTCTACATTGCTTCCAGGACTTTCCAGTAGGATTTTTTTTTTTTTTCAAATACATGAAGTTTGGGAAGAAGGGGTGGGGGGAGGATCTTTGTCCCACCGTCAGAGCATCACGTGTATGTGCCGGCGCTCGTGCGGCCGCTTGTCCCCGGGGAAGTGGGACTGCGGGAGAGGGGCGTGAGCGGCTGTGGGGGCAGGTCTG